TAAGAGGCATTGGCAACATCTCATCTGGATCACTGCGCTTACTTCTAACCCCGCAGATTAAAAGAGATTTCCTGGAAGTGGAGGTAAAAAGGAGGGTTAGAAGAACAGTCAGGGAAAAGCACCCTTCTCTGTGACAGGCACGGCACAGCTGGTTTGGCTGAACTCGGGCCGAGCAGTTTTCGGCAGTAAACTGAAAAACTCAAGGGAGGACAGATGGGAATGGACTTTATATCGGGTGAGAGAAATGTTCTTTAAACTGAAGTCAAAGACCTTGCAGAATGTGAGAGGTTCAGCTGGTCATGATACACAAGATCTGAAATCTTTAATCATGCAGAGGAACAGAAAAACAGAGGTAAGCTGATGGCAGGGGCAGCTTCAAAATGGAGTCCAGCGTCTCTGCATGTTAAGCTGAGTGCAACACGACTGCCTGCGATAGAGAGGATCAGGCCCCACAGCAGAGGAGGTCTTCTCCAGCCCTGCCCACTTTGTCAGGGACAAAGCTGGCTATGAAAGCTCTGATTTTCAAAACACATATCAAATTTACCCATTTGTCACCGGCCAGTTTATCACCACCCACTATCTTATATTCAATAGTGTTACACAAGAGTGTAAATTAATGTGGAGTGCAATACTCCTAATTATTACAGTTGGGGAGCAAATGGGGCCATGCATATGCAAATATCTAATTAGTCACATTGTGGTTGTCTGTCTGTGGAAATACCCTGTGTGACTATGAAATCATACTGCCTGCTTTGGCTTATACAATGATGTGTGTTGCTGTGACTCTTGCATAAGAAGAATTAGTCCTTCTGTTTTAATAATACTGCACCATTCTGCTCAATTCTGAGCCCTTAATCTTGCATCACAGTGAAACACTGTAACAGCAACACATAATTGTCTATTTTTCCTATTCTCTATTTTGTAAAATGCTAGTTCCTGACCTCTGCTGAATGTGTACAGTGGCCTACCTTGACACAATATTAGATTAATCTTAACTGAAAAGAGTTTCAGTGCAGCTGTAATAGAAAAAAGAATATGACTTCACCTACTCAGGAATTTCGGGTTTCGGTCTTCTTTTCTCAGAAGAATGTTATCGTTTCACTATGACACATTTGTAGTTTCATGAGTTCTGTTTGTTTTAGCCTGAGATGACCTGGCCTTATTAGCTCCTTCTATCCCCTCCAGTTTTGGTGGGGTCCCAAGTGCCTCCTTAGTGGTATTGCAAAAGGAAATCCCCATAAACCACACAAATCCCTAAAAAAAGCTGATGGCAAAACTGAGCAGATCTCCGTTCGGGCAGGCAGCGTCCTCCCCTTGCGCAGCGCTGCCACGGGTGTCGATCGCAGCCCAGCAAAGAGAGACAGAGAATGGCACAGCAGCCTGCACGTTCTGCTTGCTCTCCGTGACTGAAAGGACACCCTCACCCAGAGCACTTCTTCTGTATTTGCTCAATTTTAAGATACCTCTTTGCTGCGATTTCCAGGGTAACATCATCACTGTGGTGCTTCTGTAATTTACAGATAAAGGGTGACAGAAATGTGGTTTGGAGGACTGCGCATGATATAAGGTTGTGTTCACTAAGGCTGGCAAGATCTCTGCCTTTCTGCTCAATTCGTAGGGCAAACTGGTTTCTGAATTATCACTACTTTGTTTTGAGGAGCGTCAGCAATGGATTGATAAAAAAATGTGTTTCTGTGGTTTTATAAATACCTTTACCTTTTCTCCAGAATACAATAATTTCTTATCTTACTGCTTATACACAGCAATTTATATTCCCCATAATTACTACTTAATTTTATGGTTAATTTCACCTCCTTCCCCCTCTTCCAAAATGCAATCATGTATATTCTTATGTACATACGCATACCTCATCAAAATTATTTCAGCATAAGCGTGAATACCACGAACCAAAAGTTTGGCATCCCTGCTACAGTGAAAGATGACTGCCACCTATGGGTAAGAGCTCATGTTAACATATTCAGATAAAATTTTAATATTATCCTTTTTAGTTCAGTTTTTAATTATCTACCAGGACAGAGTTCTGATTAATTTGCTTATATTTTGTCAACAACAATCACTGAAAATTATGCTCTGAAAGTTAGGTATTATACCACCTCCCTTACAAAGGAGCATCAGCTTTATGACGAGTGAAAAAATGGGGTACGACGTTCTTATTTTTCTTATTCTGAATAAAGACTACATAGAAGTGCTCTAATTCCCTATGCAAAGTAAAAAGACTTATTGCTATGCAGCTAGGTACAGCATATTAGATAAAGCTGTATTTAATGACAACGATAATTTTAAAGTTTAGCCGTCTCAAGGTTTTAATGTTTTACATGCTATTTCTTTTACTAAATACATACAAATAGCTTAGCTGTGCAGTTTCATGAAAAAGTGTGTATAATCAGTATGTCATAGTAATTTTCTTTTCAAAATTTTTCATTTTTCATAGTAAAATGAAAGCTAAGTGGGGGAAGGGAGGCAGTAGAAAAATGTATGTCCCGATTACGTAAGCCTCAATTTTTCTGATAATCAATCTGCGCAGCATTTACCTAGAAAACTCAAAAGAAAGTACAGACTGGAAAGCCAAATTTATCGTATCAAAAATACTTTTTTTCTGATTCAGTTTTCAGGTACTTAAAAGCAAACAGCCTGACAATTCTGTATATCTGACTACCAAAGAGAAAAGCGCTCGATTACGGCTGCTACACTGTGGTAAGCTGCATTAAAATGGACATTACAATCTCTTTCTCAGAAATACCATACGTAAAAATTGCTGGAAGTCTAGCAAATTAATGCATGTATTTCAGTTTGGGAAAAAAAATCATTTTGCACCAGTAAACAGAAGCTAATTGTAGCCATTATATTTCTCCCTTTCGGAGCTGGGACACGGTATTTTTGAAGGAAGAGAGATGAACTTAACAAAAGAAAAAATTATATTAAAAGAGAGAGCAACTAATACAAACTAAGTCCAACACTGATTTTTTAAAAAATCTGCCTTTTAAAGTAATCTTAGTCCTGGGCCTTCTTATTCGTATTGTACTTTGCTAAATATGATAACAGGCCTATCTAAAAAACCCCAAATCAGTATTACACTAGTGCTTACCTCCTCCATTTTCACTAAATAAAACTAATTCTAAACCTATATTATAAACTTGCAAAATACTGTGAAAGTGGTGAGTAAATGTTGCTCAAATATCTGAGGTTCACACATCACCATTTCATGCTTGCTTTCCAACGGCATCGGTACCCTTTATAATCTACATAATTCAGACGCCTGCGGTAAAATCTTTGTGCTTCATAGATAAAACCATCTTCTAGGTGAAGTCACTGCTCCACAGTAATAGATTAGTGATCTATTTTCCTGATGTATTTTAGGCCAAAAATAGCATTCTTCAATTTAGCTCCTTGTGTCCACTTTGGCTACTGAATCAAACTGTCACCGGTCCTGTAACATTTCCCTGTATTTTCAAACCACGGTTTAAACTTAAACCACTTAGTCTCCTTTAATGGGAACTTCTTATCAGACAGAAATTACTCCTTAGCACGTTTGATGAATCCAGCTTAAAATAAAACACCAGAACTGCATGAACATCTGCGACAAATGACTTGTCTCAGTCATCCTGTTCTTTCTTATTTAATCTCCCACTGGAGTACAATTTCATAGGTACACTATTTTACAGTGCAGACCTCCTCCCACCAACCTACTGCTTGCAAAAGGAATTTAAAAAAATATTTTCCATGTGTCATACCAAAATCTGAACAAATTATAGTTGAACCTTTCAAAATAATTAGAAATGAGAAAATTGAAATAAACAAATAAGCTGGTACCTCAAATTTACAAAAGTAACAAAAGGTAAACAAATTTAGAAATGCAATGAAGGATTGTTAAACTAATAGATCTACTAATGGAATATGAAACAAACCCTCCTTTCCTGGTGACACATCACTGAGTTACTGCCTGCATATCATACAAGTAAAAAGGAAGATAAAATATTTTTAAGTATAGTTAGTATGATAAATTTTGAGATATTCCTATTTCAGTCTCTTTAAAAGGAAGGCCATGTTAAAAGAGAGAATACTCGGCATGATCTACGTGATATTGGAAAACCCAGACAGGTTTTTCCTGTCAATGTCAATGATCAAAAAATGTCAATTTTTTGCTGCCAATGATCTCTGTGTTTTACATAGGGAAAAAAATTCCACATATCAGGCAGCATTCTTAATTCTCTGAAGTGCTTGCTGTTAATTTTATACCTTTACAGAATGACGAGTAAAATTCCACTTTCCAAGTAAATACAGAACGTTGTATCATAGCTTTAAAAAATTATACTTTCTGTTCTGTATAGATGTCTCATCAATTTCACCTGAATGCTGCTTATAACACAGATTTTACTTTAAATAATAGTACTTAATGCCCATATGGATTTTTTGTTACCTAATAGCTTTGCTAGATTGGTCATGGATTTTTTACTGTGCTATGTATTTTTTCAGTACTTAGTTATACGTCTGCATTCTCCAACAGACGTTGAAAATATTACTGCATTCTGATCTACTCCACTGTTTTGACACTGAAGTGCATTAAGATACTCATAATGTGTTTACAAAGGCAACTAAACAAAAAAACAGGTTACCTTCTGATGTTCTGGAACGAATGGGACCTTATTCTAATGGGGGAAAACCTGTTTGTTTGTAATAGCTTAGTTTGTAGCTGAGAAAGAGAGCTGCACACCTGGAATCACCTCACTGAAAATTCCAGAAATGCAAGGAGCTTCACAAAAAGTCTGCAGTTACCTTGTTTTTTAAATAACCATGCAGAGCTGACAGCTATTAGCAGTAGCAAGGACTTGCATAACGAGAACTTGAAGGAAGGCTTAGTACTATCCATGCCGGAGTGATTTAAAGAGAATGAAGGCACGTATTTCTTTATGATACATTATGTAACAACAGAGAGGGCAATGTGAGGCATTCAAAAAACTACAGGACTCACACTTGATCTAATTCTTGTTATTTATCAGACAAATATTTAATAGTGCTTCCAGCAGAAAGCTTATGAAACACCAAGCATAGGACTGTTGTCCGGTATAAATTAGTTTGAAATGTTTTAGGTGACGTATTCTATGTTTTGTACATCTTTATGAAAATGTAATTGGCCCTATAATTCATCTGCTTCAAACTTCTGCAATACATGCAATCTCAGATAAAAATGTCAAAATCAGTGATAGCTGGACCCTCTGGTTCACATTAGTGTGAAGAGAAAACTGCTGTTGAGCTGACACATTGATAGATTACGAGTTCTGCTGAAGAATAGCTAAAAATGGTGATTCAATCTCGTCGCTACTATACAAGAAGAATAACAGAAGTGGTGATGATACTCATGATATCATGTCTTTTATCAAAACCCTAAAAGGTATTGGTGCATCGAACACATTCTCTTTCTGAGAGCTTCTGGTTCCAAAAAAATACCTGTGTAAGTAAACGAAACTAAAAAGGCCTATTAAAAACCAGGATCACTTTGTGCCCTAAATTGATTTAAACATTGATATAAAAAGCAGTTTGTAAAAAGACTTTTTTTTTCTGGGGGGTGGGGGGGGAGGTGATCAATCCTCTCTCTTTCTGTTTTTTTTGTTTTTTTTTTTTTTTTTCTACAGTAGAGATGCTGGTCTTGTAATGACGAAATGGAGAGCTAGGAGGATTATGAAACACAAGTAACATGAAGGGCAAATCTGACTGAAAGAGAGGGAGAATATTATTCTGATTATTTAAAACTTCACTGGGTTTCTTTACTAACTTACATCCATACAGGTCCCCTGAAATCTATATGGTGGTACAGGATGCATGTAAGGTAATGTGGATCATCATCTTCTGTTAGGACAGTAAATAAAAACACTTGTATAATCATCTTTTCTGAACAGCTCCCTAATCTTCAGAAATGCAGAAGAGAACTTTTAAATGAGGCACCTTAAGTACTTCTGCTATTCTACCCCTGGTCCTCCTGTTATGTGAAACTTGCGTGGTCGTTAATGCTGAAGTGAAGTCAGGTTTAAATACTGACTTCTGCCCCTCAGTGCTTCATACTTCCCTGTGCTGCTGCTGCAAATCACCACAGAAGGCTCAAGATGGAGGGAACGGGGCCTGGGTGGCTTGTGCCTTCCTCCCACAAAGATCACAAAATGCTCCCAGCGCTTACTTCCGACGCATCCAAGGAGTTCTGCAACAACAGAAGGGGAAACAAGGCTTCACAGTCCTCATCTTTCACTGACAGGAATAACAGGTAAGGAGAGGAAGGAAACAGAAACATGGGGGAGGACGGGGGTAACGATTTCATTTTAGAGGCTCCCCTTTTCCAAAGGAAAAGAAACCTTGACACAAACTTCATCAAGTCACAGAGATGTAGACAGGTAGGCACCTCAGATTTCTGATAACTCGGTGGGTTTGTTTCAGGGAAAGATTAAGCATTAATTGGATTTTTAGTTTTACATTTACCGGGGCCTCTACAGCAAGAATTTGCAGCTTCTCCTGCAATAATTAATGTTTCATGTTGCATAGGAATTTCTGATTACATAAAAAAGCCCTCTCCAACAAAACTGTAACTTAAGCTGTGTTCTTAATTTGATGATGGATGGGGAAGAAAAGCAGCAAGGCAGAAAGTTTATCACCCTACACTAAAATGCAGGGAGAGCCAGAAACCGAAATCAAATTTAAAAAAATAAAAAGGTCTCAGCCTTGTTCCGTGTTTTTCCTGCAATTCTTACACATGCATTTGCCTTTTGAGTGTGCAGGCCGACATCTTTAGGATATTCAGGCAACGCATTAACACACTGTAGATATGGGAAAGAAATAAGTCAGAAATATTTGTAGAGTGTAAAGCAGTAAACAGTAACCAAGAAGCAATGTTTTACGTAATGCCATCATGGCTTGGCAGCAAAGTAGATTTTTACCATGTTCTTTCAAGCTAGTAAGCTTGGTGACAAGTGAAATGGGTTAAATTTTCTGAGTTTGGAGCGCAATTGATTTATGTTTTTTCCACAGTGCTACGCAGCTCTTAAATGTGCGAGCTCCTGCGGATGAAAGTCTGCTTTTAGGACAGGCCCCGCAGTGACAGGCTGCGGCACGGCAGGGAGAAGCCCAGGTAATTCTGGCGGGGCAGCGGCTGGCGATGCAGGACGCAGCAGGTACCCCGCCATCCAGCCAGCCCGCCTTACGTAAGGACTTCATTTTCCTTCGCCTACAGCTCGCCGCCGCGCCAGGCACGGCAGAGAAGGCTATTCCATCTCCCCGTGCAGCCCCATCCCCTGTGCCAGGCCCAATGACCGCATCCTCGCATGTTTTAATTCTTTAATTAATTTTTTTTCCTCCTCTCCAAACAGCACATCTACACGGTGGCGTTTACCTAGTCGCTCGCGCCGTGGCTGCCTCGCAGCCTATCTGGGCGGCCGGCTGGCACAGCCCGCGGTCACCGGAGCGATGCCGGGGAGGAAACTCCCGCTCCCTCTTCGGGCGAGGGGCGCGCTGCGGGCCGGCTCCGGGCGGGCAGCTCTCGCTCCTCGGCGGCGGCGGGTGTGCTCCGCTCTGCGGCCAGCGGCGGGCAGCGTCCATTGCAGCTCGGCGGTCCGCGTCCGGAGTCCAGGGGCTCCGGCAGCCAGCGGGGGCACCCGGCCCCCGCTCCCCTAAACACCGCCGGCCAGGTGCGTTTATTCCTCATCCCGTCCTCTTCCCACAAATCCACCGTCTGCGGCCGCCGAGCCCCAGCAGCAGCCCGGCCAGCCCCCGAGTCACCACCGATCGCTCTCCCCTCTCGCTCTCTCTCTCTCTCCCTCTCGTTTCAAGCTCTCCCCGAGGAGGAAACAGCACGGCGGGGCCGCTCGTTCTGCGTTTCACCGCCCGGGAGACGCCGCCGCCGGAGCGCTTAAAACAAAGCGGAGAACAGCCACTTTCCACACTGTTCCCTTCCCTCCCCGCGCCGAGTAACGCGGCTGGCTAGGGGAGCTCGCCTAGCAGGGCTGAAAACCAAGGGGGGGCGAAGGCAGCAAAACCCACCCACCCAGCCAGCCCCAAGCCCCCCGGCTGCTCCCCGTTCCCGGCGCATCCCGGCGCACCTGACAGCCCGCCGCGCGCGCTGTATTTCCCTCCCTTAGCGACAGGGGAGGCGCGCGCCGACCGCGGCCCCGCCATTGGCGGAGCGCAGCGGCGCGGCGCGGCCATTGGCCGCGGCGGCGGCCAATGGGGCGCGCTGTATCCGGGAGGCAGCGGCTGCGGTGCTATTTAAATCCTGCCCGGTGATGTCAGCGCGGGGGGAGCTGTGGGGAGGGCGCGCGGGAGCGGCCGTGCCTGTCAGGCCGCGTTAGGAGCAGCCCGGCCGCCGCCCCCTCCGCGGGGAGCGGCCCGGCCGCGGCCCGGCGCACCTGCACGGCCGGCCCCGCCTCACGGGACCTGCCAGCGCCCCGCTCCCCTCCCCGCTGGCTTGCTGCGGCGTCGCTCCTGGAGGGTGCGGGTTAATCCCGGGGTGCTGGGTGCGCTCTCTGGTTGCGCTAAGCCCTCGCTCGCGGAGAAAGCAGAAGGGCCGCTCTCCGCGCTGAAAGCAAACGCTTGTGCCAGCTGTTCGGGGGGGTGGTACCCTCGCTGTACTTCATTTGCACGCAGTGCTTCTCTGTGACACTGAGGCCCTCAGCTCAGGAAGGACATTGAGGGGCTGGAGCGAGTCCAGAGAAGGGCAGTGAAGTGGTGAAGGGTCTGGAGCACAAGTCCTGTGAGGAGCAGCTGAGGGAGCTGGGGGTGTTTAGCCTGGAGGAAAGGAGGCTCTTTCCTTTCCGACCTTATTGCTCTCTACAACCGCCTGAAAGGAGGGTGTAGCCAGGTGGGCTCGGTCTCTTCTCCCAGGCAACCAGTGGCAAGACAAGAGGGCACAGCCTCAAGCTGTGCCAGGGGAGGTTCAGACAGCATGATGAATTTATTCACAGAAATGGTGATTAGACATTGAAATGGACTGCCAAGGGACATGGTGGAATCACTGCCCCTGGAAGTGTGATGGAAACTTACCCATGATGTGACCAAAATGCAGGCATCTTACTTTACACGAAGGTGTGTCACCCATGATGAGAGCACACAGCTGCAAGATTTTCTCAGTTTGCAGATGGATGTATGATGTGACCATAGTTTTTTGACCCATATTAACTACAGGTATTTTGGTTGCCCAAAAATGTGTGTTAAGTTACGTGACTGCAGAAAGACATATGTAGAGATGACATGTAGAAGTGGTTCCCTAAAAGCAATTCTGTGGTATGGTGAAGGTGAATGCAGAGGAGGTCACCAAGCTGAATATTGTTGATGCCAAAGAGGATTTACCATGAGAAAATTAGGACCAAAAGCCAGGAGGAAGGAGGCTGTCACTGAAAGTGTGTTTGTTTCTTTGCCATGGCAGGATATGGCAACAGAAGCAGGGGACAGCAGAAGGCTGATCATGGAGGTGGCTTCTGAGAGGTTAGGGATGGCATATCATAACTTGGGGTCCTCAAGATGATTCTGATATTCTTTTAAGGACATTCTTCCACTGAGAGTCAGATGGAAGAATGCAAGAGCCTCTTTCAGGAACTGACTCCATGTGCCTCTTCAGTCCCATTGACATTTCCTTGTTTTCTGTATTTGGGAGGCTGCTTGAAATAAAGATTATCTCACTACACTCAATGTTGTTTATGTATTGTATTTGTCCATCAGTACCACTGAACTCCAGATTTTCTGTGAATTAACAACAAGGTTCAGGAATAACATTTTTTGTTGTTTTGACTGCACTTTCGCCCCCTGGTTCCCAGCTCTGTTACTTCCAGGGTGACTTGAGGAAATGTTACCTTCCTCTAAAATATCAAATTAGCATTAGCTAGAGGTGAAAAGCTGGGCAGAGGTGTTCATGGTGGCCCTGCTCCTGACACATGCATCTTGCTCAAATGCTTAGAACTAGTGATGAGATCTGACTTGAGAATAAATTTTTCTCTAATATGGCCAGTTGCATTTGAGGTAAAAAAAAAAAAAAAAAGTAAGGGGGAAGAATCCACCCCACTCAGCAAGATGGAATGTGGTTAATTTTGGAGACAAGAACCTTTGGACAGAGCCTTCACCCTAGAGCAGTATAAACCTTAAATTTGTTGGCAGAGGGGAGGAGCAGAAGAGGTTAATATATCTAAGTGGAAGACAAATGGATGCTATGGCATAAACTTACAGGGGTGGAAAGGAATGTGAAGAGTTCATCTCATCTATCCCATGATTTTACTACCATAAAGCAGGATCCAATCTCCCCATCTCTTTCCTGGTAAATACCCAATTTATGCAAATATTTTTAGGGATGAAACTTGATAACCTCCCCACGCATCTCTTTGAGTGCTCTGCTTTCCTTAGCTTAGGACAGTCTAGTTCTCTTTTTATGACCCTCAGAGAGTGCAGTCTCTGACTCTTCCTCATGTAGTTCCACACATCTGCTTAAGAAAGGTCTGGAGAAAAAGGCCAGTAGTTATGTCAACATTTCCTCATGGTTTTATTTTTTTCTTCCTAAACAAGCATGGTGAATTAACAAAATTAATGGCAGGTGAAATTTGCAGCCCTGGGAAAGTAGCACACGCTGCAGGGGAAGATGGATGGATGGTGATGAAACGATGACATCAGCTCTAAAGATAAAGGTAGAGACAGCTGGGTGCAGCTCCACTGAAATAAAAGGGGAAAAAAAAAACCAAACCCCTCCAACCTGCAAATTTTAGCAGGTTTAAGGAGAGGGATGCTGAATGATGAGCAATAAAATGCTATTGTAAATGATACTCACCGGACATTACAGTGTGTAGCAGTAGCTCAGCTTCAGAGTTTTGAAGGGTGTGCAAAGATCACTGCTAGAGCCAGGTAAACAGAGACATGGAGAAACCAGGAGGCAAGTGAGTAGCTGAAGCTCAGATGAGGCAGAACTCATCTGGAAATCCTTTCCCAGTCTCGACACTGCTTCTTCCTGGCCAATCTTTAGAAATCATTCCTGCTCCACACTAGTGATACATAATAGTGTCATTTTTCCTGTTAAGAACACATTTTGCAGAAGGGTCTATAACAGTGTAGGATTCAGCTGAATTCAGGCTACAAGATGGGGTCACTGCAGTCCTCTGCTTTAAAACATCACCAATAAAAATCTTACTTTAAATGTTCTGGTCAGGACTAGTGAAGCTTTTCAATTTTTAAATGTGTTTTGTGTGGAAAATCCCTCTGTTAAATAATTAGCAAGTGCTCTGAGCATTACTGCATATTTTATATTTCATCTGCCTGGAAGAAATGGACAGTTCTGTTGCTATAGATTAACTGCAATTTATTTTGTAATACTCTGGCTGCTGGAAAAGAGAGACTTCTTATTTCTTCTTATTTCTTTTACATCCAATTACTCAAGGAATGGAGCAGGACAGGAAAAGGGTTTAGCCATACCTTTTCTTCTATTCCCAGTCCCAGTGGACATTTGAGTTTACAAAAAAAAAAAAAATCTGCACAAGCTGTAAATGTGAAAAACAGAGACTGAGTGGTTGAGCAGTACAGAGAATTCCAATGCTGGATCTTATTTTCTTGGAGGCATTAGCTAGGATGGCTTGTTTATTTTACCTTTTACATGGCCTTTTTCCACATTTTAGTGTAAATTTTCCTCAGGCAGAAAAAAAAATCATTGCTGTTGCATGAATTAGTCTTAGGTACCAATGGGCACTAACTGTGTTTAAAAGGAAGAATTCAGCATGAAAAGCTGTTCAGATTTAACCTTTTCCTCTTAGAAGTGACATTACAAATGATTCTTTTAATGGAATGAAGGATGAAATCACCTTTTAAGTAATTTTGATGATCAGCTCAGTGTTCCTGAGGCTCTTTGAATGGGAAGTTGTGTCAGAAGTGTGGCCCTGGCTCTGCTGTGGGCATTTCTGTACATCTCACTGCTGTTAGGCTACACCAGCAGGCCTTGGTGTGACAGAGTGCTATCTGTTTTCCTAGGAAGTTGTTTCAGTCTGTCTTCAAGATAAACTTTGAATTCTGAGATAGTTTTATATCCCTAGAACTGTAATGGGCAGCACCGTTCCTGAAGGAAAAAAATGCTCCAATTTTCATGAGTGTTGGACCTGACAACCCTCCTGGCAGTGTGTGGGAGCCTTTAGTCTGCCAGAAGATGCAGGTGGGGTTCCTCGGCCTGAAGGAATTGCTATGGATTACAGAACGCCGACAAACGCTGATTAATCAAACATGCCTCCAACACAGAAAGTTCTCTAAGAGTATAAGCTAACTTCCTAGTCTCCTCCCCTGGTACAGCACCAATAGCTCAAGTCTCTAAGCAGACCTGTGCTTAATTTCACAGGCACTGCTTAGGTGGCTGCTGCAGTTTGGTTTGCAAGCTGCGTTATACCGAAGGTGGTTACCTGTGCGTGCTGTCTCTGCACGCACTGGGGCTCAGTCGGGTATGTTGCCCACATCATTTTCTTCCACTGTGTTGCCTGGTTAGCACGTGCAGCAAGCATCCTGTGAAGCCTTTAGAAAAGTCTCTTCCAGCTTGCTGGAACACACAGGATGCTGTGTCCATCATGGACTACAAAAGGGATGTTTGCAGTGGTACTCAGTGGTCTGTTAAAGACCAGGTCCCTAGTCAGGCCAATGAGGATTGCAGGGAAGAATCAAGGGCTTGAATAAAACTAATTCTCCATTCTGGCAATCAGATGAGGAAATGAGTGTTTCCTTGCAGCCCTGCTGCAGCTTGTGCATTTTCTTCTGTCTCCAAAACACTGCAGAGACTGATGCCAATGAAAATAACAGGCAGAAACATTTTTAACATTTATGCTGCTCATTTGCAATTCAAGTATGGTGAACTCCTGTGTGCTGAAAAGCAGGGAGCAGAACAGAATGGACCGATCTGTTTATGAAGACTGCAGAAGTTATTTAGCAGCTCTGAGATTCAGAGGATTGTTTGAATGTTATTGATCAGCATTTCCAAAATGGTGTTGAACTGGAGCTTTCCTGTTGTGATAAAGCTGAACGACCACAATCTTGATGCTTTGTTAGTAGGCTGGCTCCACATATCAAAAGGCACGGGGCACCAA